GTATCTGGGTTTAGGGTGTATAGGGTGCATGGGGTTTAGGGTTTAGGTTTTAGGGTTTAGGGTTTAGGTTTTAGGGTTTGGGGTTTAGGGTTTAGGGAATCTAATCCTTAGACCTTAGAGCCCTTAATTGGGTTTAGGATTCAGATTTTAGGTTTTAGGGTACTAAGCCCTGACCCCTGAAACCCAAAACCCTATAATGTAGGGGCCTAAATAATTACATATGCTATTTTGGGGGCTCTTTATTGTTCTTCTCATGATTAAGGCCCCTACATGCAGTCCTGACAACCCTGTGACCCGAACCCTTTCTCCCAGGTACCTCATTGTCTGCCCGGTCTTCGTTGGCCCAGCGCTGCTGATAGGGAACCTGGCTTTAAGCATCCTCCTTCTGGGCTTTCAATTCACGAAGCTGCCATTATTTTGGGAGGGCCTTGCGATGATGTGTGCCCTTTTCTTCCCGTGCTTCACACTGCTGGCCTATGTGGTCCTCGAGCATTGTCGCAGCATCGAAGCGGTACAGAAGCAAGTCAGCTGTTTCGCACTTGAGGACGCTTCGTGTTTCTGCTGTTCCCACGATCACACCAACCCTGCCACAGGTGAGCCCATGATCTGTGATCGAAGCATTCTCGTTCGCTGCATTTCATCTTGGTTTGGCTCCACCAAGCAATTCGAATCTGTGGTGCGGCACCATGTGCTGACAGCATTGGTCCATCAGCTGGCAAGACACGTTTTCTCATACTGGCGCATTGTGCAGGCACTTTGCCCTGTATTGTGGCTGTTTCTGGACATGATGATAAGCATGGTGCCTGTAGCCGGATGTCTTCGAGCAATAGCATATTGCATGTTACTGCTCCCAAGCCTGGTTCTGATTCTACTCCACTTGGCCTACAAGCAGCGCAACCTGGCTCACGGGATGTGTCAGCAGCTGATGCTGTCAATAGGACTCGTGGCTACAGGCGGGCTGATGTTCGCGATATCTACAGCGGCGGAAGGCGTGATTGATGAACTCTCGCGGCGTTTGTTTGGTACGCCAGTGCCTGGCAACAGTGCAGTTTTGATACTATTTGGCGTGGTCACTGTCTTGCTGTGGCGTTACTCGCCCATGATTGACATGCAGACTGCCTCTCCAGGCATGCAGTGAAAGGCACACAACATGCGATGGCATGCTGAAAGCCTTGCTTCAAATGATTCTCATGTGCGTGGTCCTTGATCCAGTGTTTTTAAGTCATAGGCTGCTGGGTGCAAGAAGCTTCGCTAGTATCAAATCTGGCGCATGGCATGTGCTGGTTGTTGCACGGCCCGCGGGCATAATTTAGGGTTTAGGGTTTAGGGTTTAGGGCATCATGATATTAAGTAGCTGCAGCTGTTGCTGCTTCGCCATCGTTACTACCGTAGTTCAGGCTCCGTGTCATGCGCTCGCGAAACCTAGCCTGCACAGAACGCAATTAATGACCTCAAACGAGGTATGTGTGGAGCGCACTAGCTGGGGGCGAAGAAAACAAAAGGACGCCTGGTTTCGCACTTCTAAAGTTAAGGCTATGCGTGACCCGGTTCGAGGAAGAGTGACCGGGGTGGACCGGTTGGCGCGTCGCTTCAGATCAGACGGCTTTCTGGATTTCATGAAGATTCGCCGTGGAGAGGTACTACACGACGACGACCAACAGCAACAGCAACAACAACAACAACAACGACGACTACCACAACAACCACCACAACTACCGACGTTGCTACTTGTACTGCTGCTAGTAGCAGTACTAGTGCTGCTGCTGCTACTACTACTACTACTACTACTACTACTACCACTACCACTACCACCCACCACCACCACCACCACCACTACTACTAATACTACAACTACAACTACAACTACAACTACAACAACTACTACTACTACTACTACTGCTACTACTACTACTACTACTCCTGCTACTACTACGACTATTACTACTACTACTACTACTACTACTACTACTACTACTACCACTACTGGACTTGCTCGTAAGTCACGCAATGTTTTCCTATGTTTTGGATTTGCTCTGCTTTGTCTCAAGGCCTGGATGTCGTGTTATTTGCTATTAGTTAGCTCTTTCAGAGCTTTCCATGTGGACCTGCCGCCGTAGCAAACACAGTCATATCAACTTCACCAGGCATATTTTTGATGGCTTCCACATGACGAAGACACGTCCCACGCACCCTCGCAGGAAGCCCCTGGTCTACTGGTATTTACAAACATGCTGGTGTTTCTGACGGCCGGCAGCAAGTATGATTCTCATCTTCTTGAGACAGTTTTGGCCTTTCTGTTTACGTGTGAGGACCTATCGTCTTCTAGCGGCAGAAGCACATACCACTAGACAAGACCTATGATTTACCGATATTTTCACGGTTTTCGTGCTCTCGTGGCTGAGAATTTTTGTCGCGATCTGCGTGTTCATAATGAATGGCAGCAGTTGTTCTGCTTTGTTTCAGGGTTTTTGGGGACCCGGTTTCTCCATCCGTTCCCACAGGACATGCATGTGCCAACCATGTTTTAATGTCCACACAGACTCCATCTGTACCCACAGAGCATCCATGTGCCAACCAAGTTAACGTCCACACAGACTCCATGCAGACCATCCATGTGCCAACCATGTTACCATCCATACAGACTCCATCCGTTCTCACAGAGCATCCATGTGCCAACCATGATAACGTCCACACAGACTCCATCCGTTCCCACAGACCATACATTTGCCCACCATGTTAACGTCCACTCCGCGCAGACTCCATCTGTTCCCACAGAGCACCCATGTGCCAAACATGTTAACGTCAAAACAGCCTCCATCCATTCCCAAAGAGGATCCATGTGCCAACCGTTTTAACGTCCACACAGACTCCATCCGTTCACAGAGCATTCATGCGCCATCCATGTTAACGTTTAAAAAGATTTTAAGTGGCGTTTTAGGGCGCTCGGGTCCGCACACTGCTCCACTGATGACATGCGGCACCTGCCATGTCTATGTCGTCATGGACAGAAACCACAGCGTCAAAGACGCGCAGAGCGTGTACTATTGCTGCGGCTATTGTTAATGCTACCGGGTCTGCTTCTTCTTCTACACTCATGGTACTCTGCTAGCACCACGGCCACCACCGCTAGCACTACCACCAATGCAGAATGCTACCTACCACCTCCTCGTCCTCTGCTTCCTGCATTTATTTCAAAATGCTTTCTTACTTGATGTCCCAAGACTCAGTCCCTGACTCATATGGCCTTCAGCAGACTCACAACACATTTGATGATCCCAACATCATTTGAACCCTGGAAGACTGCCTTCAGCTGCAAGGTGCGAGCATTCGGATCCGCCCCAGCGTCGATCAGAGGGCCGACCACGCCGCGCGTTCGGTGACCTAGTTCTCGCACGCACTGGAACGCAGCATTTGCGCCGGCTTCAGCCCGAAGCAATGCAACTCAAGGTGTTATCTCGATCCGGGCTAGTAAGATGGAGTGTCAGTGCCGATTTTTTGGTTTGGTGAAACAAACAACTCTCTCTCGATGCAACAACATGAACCAACCTATGACCCTATGCGCCTACTCTTAATCTCCTTAAGACGAGCTGCGGTAGCCGCCGTAGCTCGCATCGCCTGAATCTGACGACCCATCTGCTGTCATCTTCCGGGACTCGAACGCTGCACCTGCAGAGGACTCCGTTCAGTGGTCTGATAGCCGACGCTCAATGCAACCTACATGTTTAAACGTTACTAAAATGCTGTCACACGTCTGCAGCTCTCCTCCTTTCCACCTGTCTACCCGTGACTCGCTCCCCACATCGCACCACACTGGAAGACACGTAGCTCGCAAGCAAAATCAAGCAATCTTCAACAAGTTTCCTTGCTGACCAGGTTTGAGCGTTGATGCGATCGAGCACTCTCGCAACTCCTTCCCCCTGTCATTATACTACATACACTTCGAGACATCACGCAATTGAGCTGCGGTTTCGCCAGCACGAGAACAGAATCCCTGCGCACATCAGCCCAGCTTGTGCAGGCGACTCGTCAACAGAGCCCAAGCGAGGCTAATGATGCATCAACGTGCGTTTTGCTCTGGATTGGCTTGTTTTCCAGCTGATGGTTCTCAATGCTTAAGAAGACCTCCGCTACATAGAAGGCGCAGGCTGTCATGGCTCTGCCTCGTTTTATAAAAAGTACAGAACACAGAACATCCTGCAAAAAACAATTGCCAAAAAACATATTATATGTCACCTTAATCAAACTCTCAGGTTTCGCGCTCCAGCTTTGCATGCTTGCCGCGGAATTCCCGATCTCGAACAAAGCGGCCACGAAAATAAATTTGGTCGCCAGCTCCGTGCCATCTACTTCGAGTGCCCATATGTCGAACCATCTTTGAAGTCATGTTCGAAGTCAGTTAAACGCGAAGTTCGGATTCTCTCTGACAACGGCTGGAGCGAGCTGGTCAGGCCATGCCTGTCGAGTCGAAAATGCTGGAACTCAGACATTCGCTGCATTCGAGAAGACCACGGTGAGCGTACATGCTTGGCTTCTCCAGCAAGGAGGGTTTGCGGATGGATCGGTATCTGTCCTCGCGCCTGCCTAACTGTGAAGCGCTTGTGGTCATTTGGGCATCTCAATGCTTGACACTTGACTGGATTCGCAGTGCGACCCGTGCCACGAGTTCCATTGCTCTCGCCTGCCTCGCTTCAGTTTCTCACCAGCTGTTCGAGTTGCTTGACTTGCATCTCCACATAACTTCACCCCCCACTCCCCAAGACATGAAACACCGCACAGAAGGAGAAGTGGCTGCCACGAAATTCCACCATGGCACCATAGAGAAGCGCAGACCAGCCACTTGGAGTCACCTTCAGGGCTCTCAGGAGCATGGAAGTTGCCAGCTGCTGGTTCCCGAAGCAACAGTACTGGTGGCGCAGCGAAGCTGACAGGCCTCTGTTCTAAAGACCTGCACAAGTCAGGGTTTTGCTGATTTGTCTAGGCAGCGCCTTGGAGGCGTTAGCGCCCAGACGGAGAATCGCTTGCACCCATCGAACTCCTCCCAAGCAGGGTATGTTGACTTGGCTGCAAGGATTCTAGGTTTGAGTCAAACCAATTCAACCGATCGCAGATGCAGTTTATGACAGAAGCAAACTGATACTGAGGTAAACTCAGAAATGGCGCCCCTCGCTCGTGGCCGACCCTCGAAATCAACGAATCCTGCTTGAACGCGAGCACCCTTAAGCCCAAGCATGCTTATCCACTCGGACACTAACACTTTCCGTGCACCGAGAACCGCCTTTTGTGGAGTAAGCATTTGAGCCCCACGCCGACAGTTGCAACCATCACACAGCCCACATCAAAGTCATCCAAGCTCGAGAAAGACGAAGCATTTGCAATTTGACGAATACTAACTCACACCAGCAGCATGGAATGGAAAAATTGCTAGTCACTGCTAGTAACGATGTTTACAGTCAACGCTAAACTGCTAAACACGTCCCCGATGAGATGTGCAACCTGCCTTGGCGCGTGGCCCACATCAAGGTAGTGGCCTCCGTCAGCCCACGCGGCCGGGTGCAAGCAATCAATGCTCGACCATCCAGCTTGCCTGTCTTGGCGTGGCTTCGGGGCGCGATGGCAGGCTCCCACACGGCCGTCAGTACTCAGCAAACAGTAGACAGCGTACAGAACAGACAGGTCACCTGGTGTATCTGCCGGGACCATGTTCAACAGTGCGACCTCCTCGAGGCTTCCACCCAGGGCCAGGCGAATGCGGATAGCAGCCTCGACTGCTTTGAGCTCAAGGCGCATGGCTTCCTGGATCCCTGTCCTTAGGAAGAGGATACATCGCCTCTTGTCTCCTAGTCCAGGGAGCACACGGCACGACGTATCTTTGACCGAAGAGCGTGGCCACTCCGTTCGCGAATTCTCGGGCCAGCTGCTGCACGTGCTCCGATCTTCTTCTCGGCTTGGGCGCATTTGCAGCTTTGCCCAGGTGAGCCCAGGTATAGACAGAGTTCGCCTCAATGGTGCCAGATTGGCCCAGAAACTCACGGTCATGATCATGATCAAGCAAAGCAGCTAACTCTGGCATCAGCAACTCTTCTGCATCGACGCCGGCCAGCCAGCTCAGACGCAGTACGGCCGCTCTAAACCTCTCTTCAGCAATAAGCCGGTCGAGACTGCGCTGGGTCGCAAAGGCATCCTGAGTTCGACTGACTTCCACAACACAGAACCGGCAGAGAAGAAATCAGCAAGTCACAACTGGCCGGGGATCCTTGTAGACAGCCTTGACGTGCCGCTGCATTGCACGCCAATCTCCCATGCAGCTGCGTGCTAACGCCGACCAGCAAACGACTGGCAGCGGCGGCCTGTCTTAAACAAAGGTCTCTGTGCCTGTCTGCCTGCCTGCCTGCCTGCCTGTGCCTGCCTGCATTCTTGCCTGTCTGCCGGTCTGCCTGTGTGTCTGTCTGTGGCTGTCTGTGTCTGTCTATCTGCATGCATATGTGTAAGAGTCAGGGGTGCGTACGCATCTGATCACGACCACGCTCGCTATCGCTCGCTATCGCATCTTTTTTTTGCATCCGTACTGATTAGGTTTAGGACGGAAAGATGGCTGTGCTCAACACTAGCCTTCCAAGAAAGCGCGTCGACGTACTTTCGTCATCCACTCCGTGGGAACAGAACTGAGCTCATCTAGAACCCAGAAACTCGAGCCCCCAAGAAAAATAACTAAACATTATCCCCCAGCAGTTTCGGAGATTGGCACTTCAAAATGCTACAAGCAATTCATCGACCGGACAAAGTAAGCAGCGTCTCGATCAAAGTTCCTGAAGCGTTTGAGGCAGCATCAACCAATTGACAGCACCACAAGGGAAAAGCAACAACGACAACTAGCAGCCGAGAGTAACACAATGAAACAAGGGACGATATTTACGGAGCCTTCCACGTGCCAATGCCATAACCCCATCCACCCCGATCTGGCCGACATTCCGATCTCCCACTCGAAAATATCAGATGAGCGGCAACAGAAGCGTCGCGGTGTCCACGCCAAGCAGCTGCACAGCCAGACCCATGGCCCACCGAAAGGAGCAAGATTAGAGTCTCATCCCCTTGGGCCGCCATTGCTTTGTCCTGCCTTCTGCCACAACCGCCGCGAGCCCAGGCCAAGTTTTGGGAGCGCTCAGCTCCGAGTTCAAAGCACCGTCCAGCAAAAGGGCCGTTCTCTCGAGGTCTGAGGTTCCGACGCTTGGATTTTCTGGTCCTTCCACATGAGATGATGCCTCAGCGGAGTGCCAGCATAATCGGAAAAAGTAGGTCTCAGCTGAGAGAATCACTCCAGAGCCACTATGGCCACCGCTGCCTGCCACCCCAGAAATGAACACGAAGCAGCGCACAGCAGCATACGATCCGACGGCCTCCTCACTTTCGAACTCCACCTGCACAGTGCCGTTGAACGGATTTTCGCCTTAGGAAGCTGCACGAAGACGTGAGACAGACAGTGGGACTTGTTGCACACTGAGCTTGGTCTTTGGCCATTCGCATCCGGGTTTCTCTCCCGATGCCTCGGCGAGCTGCACGTCGCTGCGTGGAGACGTACCCGCCATGCTGAGAACGCAACAGCTTCACGAAGAAGACCGGTCCGAAATTCGCGCACATCTCCGTCATAGACTCAATGCCCACCGACTCATCACCTCGCAGGCTGGATCCATGTCCCAGCCCTTCCCTCCCCCTGGCTCTGGGTTGGCAGACCTGGCGTGAAACCCGTCAGTTGCACAGCTCGTCTCTCCTTCGAAAGCAAGGATTACGGGAGCAAGGCTTTGCTGTCGCTGCAAAAATCTGAGGAACACTGCGAATTCGCTACCGGGACCGCCAAAGGACCTGAGACAGGCAATTCCGAAAGTGTGAACCGTTTCTCAATTTGTCGTGTAGTCATAATACCTAGAGCGAAATGGAAGCAAAATTCGTGATCCCGCTCCGCTACATAGCTCCCACAGACACGGTGCCGTAAACGTAGATTATGCAAGGTGCATCTGGGTAGGTATCGTCGTGTCATTGCTGCACCTGAAAGAAATGTGCTGGGGACCAACACGGAGGTGGCAAAGCTGCCCCGCCAGTGCGCCGCACAGCATCCCGTGCGTCCTCGGTGATGCAACAGAAAGCTCATACACACACACACACAGACACACACACAGCTCTTTTGCTTTGCCAGGGGTCAGAGTCAAGAGGCAGTTCCCCTGACCCGCGCCAGGGCGCATCCCCATGAACCCACACAGCTCTCTCTCTCTCTCTCTCTTTCTCTCTTGCTTGCTTGCTTGGGACATGGAGGCCGAAGCCTCCTGGCCCGAAACCCGACCCCTCCACAATTCGCGTCGACAAATCTGTGTGACACGTTGCGGGGCCGGGAGTGGTCCTGTCCACCCGTATGTGCCTGTAAAACCCGTCCCTCAACGAAAACCCTCCTAAACCCTAACCATGACAACCTGGTCAGGCATGACACGGGCCATCCGGGGATTCCCCAGAAACAGCTACTGCTCGCTCTCTCTCTGTCTCTCTCTCTCTCTCTCTCTCTGTCCGGGGCATAGGGGCAGGTCAGTGCCCCCGGGCGCCAGGCCCACCCAATGTTTTATTGGGCGCAGGGGAGTGAGAAAAGCATGTAGATTGTTAAAAGGCTAAAGCCATAAAGTATGCGATAAAGGACGTTGACAATCGTACATTCGGCTCGGACACATGCAATGGAACATCAAATGCCGAAGAGACAATGAAAATTCAGTACCATCAAGATATGGCAATGACTCTCTCTGTCTCTCTCTCTTCACTTCACTTCACTTCGGGGTTCAGAGGGCGTGTCAAGCCCCCCGCGCCGAGAGGCGCGCCCCTGTTTAGAGGCTTTAANNAGAAAAAGACATGGTTCCCCCGTCACCGGTAAAAAGACACGGTTGCAGAATCACTGGTAAGCAAGTTGCATCAAGTGTCTAAGGCTGGAAAGTAGAGCGTGACGGTCCCCCTGTCTCCACGAGCTAAAAGCAAGTGCGGAGCTACAAAGTCCTTGTTCCCCGGCTCTGTCACTGCTGTAAGGCCAGACATAGCAGCACGACAGGATAAGCAACAACGGATAAGAAGCTTACACCTACACAAACGGACCGTTTTTTCATGGCCTCGTGACAGGTCTGAGGAAGGCACACGTCGTCCCCCGTTGTATGTTCCTGTCTCTCTCTCTCTCTCTCTCTGTTCTGTTCTTTTCTTTGGGGTTCGAGGAGCGTGTCAAGCTCCCCTCCCTCTCTCTTTTCTTTTTCTTTCTGCCGGGCTTAGGGGTCCGCTGGGGACCCTCAGGCCTTTGGCTCGCCCGACCACCCGATGTTTTATTGAGCTCTCTTGCGTGCGTCTCTCTCTCTTCTCTCTTTCTGCTGGGCATAGGGGTCGGGGTCCCCGACCCTCAGGCCATTGGCCCGCCCAACCACCCAATGCATTATTGAGCGGCTGGCATTGGGGTCTCTCTGACCGCTGTGCTAGGGTAGCAAGTATGCCCTGCACTTCAGGTTGTGAGCCCCCGACCCTTCACACTAGGACCCCCAACCTGGGTCCCGGCCTCATCTCCGTGCCCCTATGGCTATTGGTCGAGGGCGTGTGGGAAGCACGTCATCCCCCGCATGGGGTGGGCTGGGCCATCTTTGGACGTTCAGAAACAAACTAAGCTGCTGGATGCGGTTCGTCCTTGGCCCTTTTGTTACAGGTCTTGGCCCCTCAGTTTCACACTAAGGCTGCACCGCGGGTCAGCTGTTAAAGCGTGGCTCTGAAACTCACTTATGCCTACAAACCACGAACAGCATCCCTCTCAGCTTCTCGCAAGGCTCTTTCAGCACATATGGGTAGAGCATCATTGAACCACATGCAAACTCCCGTCATTACGCACAACTTCCTCTAGCTGGCTCCCCCATTGTACTCGGCCTTGTGGCAAACTCTGTTGCACCACTGCTTTGACAAACATGATTCAAGTCAGCCAACTGTTTCATCCAAAGGTCTGAGATCATCATGCAGAAGAGCCGACAGCTACATGAACGAGTACTCAAGACAGGGATTAGACCTTCAGCAAAAGCCCCTGTAAAGCCTCTCTCTCTCTCTCTCTTGCTTGCTCCCGGCCTTAAAGACCCCCCCCATCTGTTGTCTCTGTCTTTCTCTCGTGCGGGCAAGGGGTACGTATCAAGTTCCCGGGCCGCATGGCCCACCCACGCTGTTGTGGGTGTTCTTCTGGGGGAGTGTTCTTCTGGGGGAATTGCAGCGCGGCAGCTTGAGTCTCAGGAGAAGAACAAGGCTAACAGATATGATATAAGATTTCAAGGATTCCCACCCCCTCGGCAGTGCCGCCTTAAGAATTCCACTAATGCAGCACCCGATAAACCGTGCAGCATACACGGCTTCAAGCTGCCATCCGTCTTTCTCTTGAGCTTCACATTCGCATCCACCGAAACTGCTGGACCTAAGATTCTACGTCCAAGCAGGCAGGAATGCAGACAGGCAGGCAGACAGGCATGCATTACATTCTCACACACACACACACCCAAACACACGCACACATACACACACACACGCGCACACATTCTAAAAATATTTGTGTGTATATATATATATATACCTGCTCCCTCATAAAAATGTGCACAGCTTGGTTCCCGACGGAAAGCTCCAAATTGAATTTGGGATCTGCGGCCTTCCGTCAACCCTCACATTCTCGAAAAAGCTGCTTTGTCTTCCCTTCGTGCCTCGATGGCCGCTACAATTTCAGCAGCCGTCGAACCTTACATGGTGAAATTGGCCACAGGATGAAGCAGGGCACGCATGTCAACGTGAGAACAACCCCAAATGACGTACAGTGCTCCCTCTACTAGGAAAACGACGGAGGAAGAGCTGCTAGCGCTCATCCTAAAGCATGAACCGTTGCTTTCGAGGTTGGCTTACTTAACCTTGACTTTTCAGGCCCAAACCTGAATATAAAAGTTACCGCTGCTTGTACAGCGCACGAAACTTGCCAAGTCAAGAGAACAGTTCATTGCGCGTTGGTGGCAAAGGATCTTGTTGACACCTTCACATGCCACTCGAAATTGCCAGAGAAACAGCGGTAAAGAATTTGCAGCCCGTTTATCCAACTGGAGACAGAAAGCCACTACCTTGCTGGCGAAACAGATCGCACATCGTCTCGCCAAGCAACAACCCATGAGATGAAGTCGTTTGAAGGGAAGGATCACCTCATTGCCATTGTGAGCGAAACACGGGCGGAAGCTTGCCTCCAAGACTTGTGGGGAGCCGCGCGGAGATCTTCACATATCCTTCTTCGGAAGCTCCCTTGGAACACAATGCGACATTCGGCCAGCTTCTTCTATTGAATCAGAGCACTGAGCGAATCCACATGCTACCAGACCGAGGCATGGACGATCTCTTTCCGCAAAAACCAATCCCGGCGCAAATTGGCGTCCTGCTTACATCTCGACACCCTCAGTTAAACGACGTAGCATCTGCTCATCGTCATGTATCGCGGTCTACGGTGCACCGTCCGAGAAGTAAAAGGCTAACTGACGGATGAGTGCCGGCTGCCGCCTCGGTCGATCCAGTTCCATGTGTGCCACCACAAAACAGCACGTGCTAGTAGCTTTTCTTTTCCGTTTTCCGCACAAGCAAAAACCCTTCCTTGAGCTGTACCTTGGGTGCGTGCCCCACCCGGTCCGACTGCAACTTCTCGACGGTTTTGACAGCCTGCGTGCATCCATGACAGCTGAAATGAATCGCTTGCACTAAGCTGGGCAATGCTAGACGGATTGAAGTGCACCTCTTCCAACTGCTCCAAGTCTGTGAGCTTGTCCCTGACACCACCAGCAACAATACGTATGAACTTTCAGGTGGACCAAACGCTGGTGATCCCGCACGAGTTTCATGAAGCCAAATGGTTTCGCTCGGGAGCAGACAGGGTCGCTTGGAGCCTGCCAAACGAAAAGGATTCGCAGGCATTGTTGCACTTCGGCATGCCCCTTGCCGAATATTTTCGGATAACTCAAACAAATCATTGACACAGCAACCGTGGCAGCTC